TTGGATCCCATCGCAAGCCTACGCTCTCCCTCCGTGCGCCGCACCTATCCTCCTACTCTCCTCCCAACACGCCTCCTCAGAGTGCAGACGATGACCTCAAAGGGGAAGAACGCCAGCATCTTACCGTCCTCCTCCTCTCCGAACACGACGGCCGCGACACCATTGTCGACCTGACGCGCACACTAGCCGAGATGGCCCAGAAGGGAGACGTACGACAAGAGCAGATCAACACGGACCTGATTGATGCGCAGTTGAACGACCACGTTTCGAGTGAACCGGATCTTCTGATTCTGTTCAGTCCTACAGTGCAGCTTAAAGGATACCCACCGTGGCAGCTGAGATTGACAGAGATCTTGTAAGTTGCCATACGTTGAACCACTAACTCCCTACTGACATACAATGCAGCCACCTACCAGACAACAAGGGTGTCAACTACCAGGTCTTCCTGCGAGCCCTGTACAACTTTGCAAAGGTCGAGATGCGCCTAGGGAGATAGCAGCATCGCATTCTTGTCGTATCTCTTATTGTAACAATACCCAATTTGATTACTGTTATCCATCGTCTAGTTGGCTTACCATGTCGTGGTACAATGTGAACATCGGAACGTAAAGTGCAGCATAGCGCCATGCTTGATTGACCAACGACTGCATCGTCACCATCACATGTGCATGTCACGTAATGAAGGAGCAGTCTTGGAGGTATCTCGAATGTCATGGTGGTGCTATCTACACCATATCTTCATGCCCGCTGTGACCGTTGTGTACGTCGTAGCCATCGAGAGTAAATGCACCTAACACCTTATTCATTGTAGGTCATCAAGTACATATCCGCCCCACGAAAGAACCCATGCAACCAAAACCCAGTTCGTTTACTTGAGAGGAATGAAACGGGAGGAGTGAGTGGCACCAATACCCGGCCTTCCGTGCTTGACGGGCCTGTATGAAATGGAGAACTCGGCGAGGTAGTGGCCGACCATCTCGGGCTTGATTTCGACCTGGTTGAACTCCTTTCCGGAGTAGACACCGATGACGGAGCCGATCATCTCGGGGACGACAATCATGTCACGGAGGTGGGTCTTGACAAGGTCGGGCTTCTCGTTGGGCTTGGCCTCCTCTGTGTTGTGTTAGCAATGACCCGTCGACTGGGCGGACAGTGGTGCGTACGCTTGGACTTCCTGAGCTTCTTGATGAGACCCATGGGCTTGCGCTTAAGACCACGGTTGAACCTGCGGCGGGCACGGGCGTGGACGAGGTCGCGGAGTTCCTCAGAGCCGAGGTCGAGGAGCCTGTGTATCGATCAGAATACAGCCACACTTGTATGCATTTCCAGCGCGTTCGGGGAGTCGCGGGGATCGGAAGACGTACTGGTCGAGGTCAACGCCGCGGTAAGAGAACTTGCGGAACGCCCTCTTGGCCTTAAGGGCTGTTGTGTTCGTTAGCCATGTCCATCACGTTGTGCGTCTACGTATCCAGGGAGAGCGGTGCGGGTGTGTGGGAAGGTCTGGTGCGGAGGGCAAGGGCGTACCAGCTGCGGCCTCGGGATCGTAGTCAGCGTCAGCCATGTTTGCGGTTGTCGAAGTGATGGGAGAACTTCGTTGGGTCGCGAGGGTAGTTGTCGGTCGTCAGTTCTCGATGGGCGATATTGAAATTAGAGCCCTGGAGGTGTAGCTGCCCCGTGCGCTAAGCGAGACCTCTTAGCGCCAGTCCAGACGGGCAGCTGCGATCATGCTATTCACCCAAGAACATCTAAAGAACATCTGAATTGATGTGAACATGATTATGACGATGAATTATCGCTCCATAGATGTAATCAGTCCCCACGCCCTGCAAAAAATTAGCAGGATATTCACAACACCCCCGCTTCACATAAGATGCATACAACGACTTCAAATACCTGATGACGCAGTGAGTTCACACGCGACTATTCTTCTCTAAGTCTAGATAATGATCCGGAATCACTTCAATACTTCCAAGATCATAACATTCTCTGTTATGCTCGTTCGTGGTGGCTGTGGTATCCCTATACATCTCACTGTCGGTTCGCCAGTCGCGAGATTTGACATGACATGTTGTAAGTAGATGAGAATGCGCCTTAGACTCCAACTGGGACCTGGTTTCATTGGAGACAACGCAACTTTAGTCAAAGATGGTCATGTCAAACAATCACAGCCACCATGCGGGATTGGTCGGGCATCACACGACACTAGTACACTTGATGAATGTTTGAGGGTGCATGGCTTCATTCCGGGTATCTCAGCAGGCAATTAATCTAGTAATGCCGCAGTGTCCTTCTCCAAATCCCTTGTAGTGCTCGCTCGACACTCCCCAAATCGAACTCGTTGCGCATGATTCTCGTAATGGTCGAGAGATTTGCTGGATCATACATCGTGAAGAGGTGGTTGGCGACGCGCTTAGTCGAAGAGTCCGAAACCCATGTCGTCGTCAGACTCCTCCTTCTCCTCCTCCTTGGCGGCCTCGGGAGCGGCCTCAGCCTCAGCGGCACCGCCAGCGGCAGCAGCACCACCGGAAGCGGCGGCGCCACCGGCACCACCAGAGGGAACGGAAGCAAGCTTCTCGGAACCGGAGGCGATGAGCTCGTTGATGTCCTTGCCCTCGAGCTCGGAGATCAGCTTGTCGAGACGGTCAGAGTCAGCCTCGATACCGACGGACTCAAGGACGGCCTGTTGCGTTGTTAGAACGTGATACAGCGAGTTGTGCTGAACAATTCCCTCTTACCTTGACATCAGCGGCGGAGGGGGAGGTGTTTCCACCGAGACCGAGAAGGAGGTATGCCGCGAGGTGCTTCATTGTGATTGTTGGGGTGGTTTGTCTGGAACAGGAGTTCAATCGATTTAACCTGCGCTTGTCAGTATTGCGCTGCTAGATGCGATTCCAAAGTGATGCGTACCGTCGGGGCCGGAGACTGAAGCTACAAGTTCTTCTGTAGGTTGTCGTAGAAAAGAAAAGTTCGAGGTCCGCGAATATTGACTTCGGGTGGGATCTCGCTACCTGGGCTATGCCGCAATGCGACTAGCGCAAAACGCCCGCATTGTCACGTGTCGTCGGGCTAGGCGCAAAGCCATGTATAAAAGCGACTTGTCTGCGCCGCCGCCGACCGCTCATTCTCTGGCCGCTCCCCTCTTCAATCCACGACCGGTCCCGTGCGCTCATCCTCCTCCCCGCGCGCGTGATCAGTCATCGCCGACTATCGACACCGGCGAATCTCCCCTGGAAAGCATGTACAACTTGTCCTCCAATCGATTTGACGACCGGTAGCCTGAGTCAAACGCTTATCAGTTGCCCATCATGAGTGTGAGTCCCGCGACTCATCCCCGCCAGCAGTCGTATGCTGACTGCATCATCTAGTCTCTCAAAGACATCATGTCTATAATCGACCGTACGGGCGCGAAGACGCAGGCGACGGTTTCGAAGCAAGGCCCGCCCCCCGGAGCCCCTAGGCCAGCGCCGCGACCGATCGGAGGGGCAAGTAGCGCCTCGCAAACCCCCCAGCTGAAGCGCAAGGCCTCCGGTCCAGTCGAGAGTACACAGGTCAAGATACAGAGGAAAGAGGCTGTCGGGGGATCAGCGCAGGCAAATGGTGCCGTGCGCGCCACCTCATCGCCTGCCACGTCGAAACCAGCTCCGTCCGCATCTACCACCGCCGTCCCGTATCGTGGCACTGCTGCACCAGCATCCTCAAAGCCGGCGAATCCCCCCGCGCGAAAACCTCTACAGTCGTCAAACGCGTCCGCTGCCAAACCGAAGGCTGCCGCTCCTGCACCCAAGCCTGCGCCCGCCGCCACCACCTCAACACCCGCCTCGTCTGCCGCACCCAAGAAAGGATATCTCGCTATGCTTCAGAAGGCGAAAGAGAAGGACTCAACGAAGCCTATCGCCCCACCAATCAAGCATGAACCAACAAAGATCCTTACACGAAAAGAACGCTTGGCACTCAAGGCAGAAGCAAGTGCCGGCGCAAAGGGCAAGAAGCCCGTCGCTGGATTACCCTCAAGAACAACAGACCCGAAAGCCGATCCATCGAAAGACAAGAAGAAGGCTGTCGAAGTCGGTTATCAAGGCACAGCACGACCTGCCAAGAAGCCTGTTGAGGTTGGCTACAAGGGAACCGCCCGTCCAACAAGCGCACCTGCAACGTCTAGTCGAAACGGCACACCAGCCGTCAAGGCCAAACCGAACCCAGGCAAAGGACGATATGACGGCTACGCAGACTGGGACGAGCTTAGTGAGATGGAGGACGAAGAAGAAGACTATGCCTCTGACGCTTCTTCTGATATGGAGGGCGGTATCTGGGACGTAGAAGAAGAAGAACAGATAGCCCTCAAGGTTGCTAAGAAGGAAGACGCGGAGGCACTAGCGGAGGAGAATCGGTTGAAGCGTGAGAAAGAAGAACGTAAGAAGAAGTTGATGGCTATGGCTGCCAAGGCGAAGAAGAGGTTTTGAGGTTCTTCGGCGTTACGGTTTACGATCACACGGCATGGGGGCGTTTCATCTGCATTCTCGCGGTTGCATAGCCATGGAGCGGTTTCTTCTTTTTTCATGGCGCATTTACGGTTGTTGCATACCCGGAAGAACGATCATGGCTTCACAGTAAGCATCTCGCTGCAAGAGATTACAATGCAAGTAGTGTATATTTATAACGCCGTCGGCAATAATACCTTCAGGCTCCAACATATCACGGTACCCCTCTACTCCGTTCCAACCTTACCGCATGGACTGTGCTCTGTCTGTGTTGTCCCTTCCAAACCATCGATATCACCTTTGCCGAGGATCAACGTGTCCAGATATTACCATGGCCACGCACCGCTCTGCGATTGCATTGAAGCGAATGTTCAGCCAGCGCGTTCACAAACGCCCCTTTGTCACAACCGAGCACATGGAACTGCCAAACAGCCCAGCATGTATCCTCACCATCGAACACTCATGTTCTGATCTCCTGTCCAGTATCTCCGCCACCTAACTCCCATTATCAGAACCACGACGATGCCATCCTTTCAGCGACTCAAACACCCATTCCGACGCCCTACTCATTATTACACCATACATGAGCCGTCCCCTACACCGAGGCAGCTAGAAACACAACGCGAGAAGGAGAGGCAAAGGGCTCTCGACAAAATCGAGAACGACCTCGATGACGGACGTATTGGGCCCAGAAGTAGTGACTCGCCTGACGAACTTCCGGTGATCATCGATAGGGGTCCGTACCGAGGCCATATATACCCACGAGAGCAGCTCTTCTTCAACAGCATCATGCTAGCTTCGGACGTTGAACCAATATACGCTGGTCCACCAGGTGGAGAGCTGCGGCAGGAGGTGCATAGGACTCCACTCCGGCGCCCAAAAACACAAGCAGAGCAGAAGCTTCCTCCAAGACCAGTACCGAGTGAGTACTTGACGGCCTCACAGAACAGAGAAAACCTGAGGAGGTGGGAAGAGAAGAACAACAAGTCTGCTGCGGCTGGGCAAACACAGCATCCAAGGCCTGTACCGAGTGAGTATCTGACTTCCGCACAAAACACGGAGAATCTCAGGCGATGGGAAGAGCGGAGCGGCAGGACTCCTACTGTTCGGCGAACACAGATTCCAGAGCGGCGGCCTTCTCCTCCAGGACAACCATCTCCACCGAGGGCGCCGATCACGCCAGGCACTAGTGAGTGGGATGGCTTCATGGACTTCCCCTCAGGTAATCATCAGTCCGGCGATCCTGGTGTACAGGCTACTGTGAATGAGTCGAACGCGTCACACAGTCTGCCGACAACGACAACCCCTACAGTACGAACGCACCCAGCAGCTCGGCCTCAGACCACTGTTGATTCGGCATTGCAGACGGATCCATTTCCTCCATTAGCTTCAGCAAGTACTATACATGTGCAAGTTCAAGCAGAACCCTCTACAGAACCGCCAAACGGACTCTCGGACCGGACCGAGCAGCCTGAATTACTGACATGGCTTACAGCGCTTAACAGAATCATTCGCAATGATGTTGTTGATCCGGCCACGAGAGCAAGAATCCAGGAAAGAGTGCGTCAAAACTCTACCACTGTTAATTCTGGGCATGGAGATCACCCTATCACGGTGGCAGACGCTGGTCTTGTTCCAAACTTCAGCTACCCGATTGCTGGAAGTGCGTTTTATGATCGCCATCATGCTGAGCAGACGCCTCCATCTCAGTCACTAGAAAATGTTAGGAGGAGTGAAGAGCAGCAGCAGCCGCCGCTAACAAATGGTGTTAGTCCTGGACATCACAGCGATTCAAGTTCAAGCCGCACTCTCTATCGCTCTCCCACGCCCAATAATCTGCCTTTACGAGGAGGCAGTGACGAGAGCCCAGCTCAACTAACGAATGGTGTACATCCAGGCTACTATCCCCCATCAAGCTCTAGCGGGGACTCGGGTAATGATGCTTTCCACTACCCGCCTGCGCTTCCCGACAACGTACCAGAGCATGTCTTCAACCTGCTCTGTTCGTTACTAACACCTTCCGAGCTCGCCCTCCACTACGACGTCGTCCAAGACTCAGCACCTCCGCATCTGCCACCATTCCCTGCACTTGTGCCGCCCAGTAATGCCGCATCAGATATTCCAATAGTAGTGCGTCTTGTCCAGAGGTTACATGCTGCTGTCTACGGTCTGCAAGATCGCGTCTGGGGCCTAGAAGAAGATCTCATTTCGCAGCTCAGCACGCAACTCGAAGAGAACCACCTCCAGATCAGGGAACTCGATCGAGAAAATAGTAGTTTACAAGATGAGATCACCGAGCTAAAGCGCATAGCAGATTTCAGCACTAAAGTTTTGACTGGATGCTGGGAGCGTGAATGGGAGGTTTGGCGTACACTCCTCGATATCCAGAGAAGGCGGGAGATGTACCGTAGTCCTTTGGCGTGCATCTTCTCGCGCAATCCGACGCCCAGTGTTCAAGACGACGGGCTTTTAGACTTTTGTAAGCCAGAAGGCTATGTCGCCCCGCCGCTGCCGACTGGAAAAGTAACACAGGCTCCTCTTAAGAAGAAGGAACTCGATGCTCTTCTGCTGATGGCAAAACAGAATGTCACTATACCTATTGAGGATTTGGGGGAGTTGAAGGGGTTGGCGGAGGCGTATGATAGGAGAAATGGGGCAGAGGAGGAGCGGCCTGTTGAAGGGTCGCGGAGGGATGTTTGATGATTTGTGTGGACTGGTAAGATGAACGTAGCACTTTAGCATTTCGATTTCATTTGAAGCAGCGACTACAAACGTAACCATGTTCTTAAGATGCATTAAGATGAATATATAAGCAAGTGGGTATCGTCAAAAAGGTGTCCAAGTCTGGTAACTTCAGATGCAACCATGGAACTGCTGATCGTTGAAGCTTGACCGTTAGGGAAGTGGCTGGGGTCCTCCCCGCCTTCGCGCTGAACTTCAGCTCTGACGCGCCTACCATCCTCGACTCCTACACTGCGCGCACTCACACTCATCGGCCACATACATTCATTGCTGATCACTTGTCATGGCTGAGGTCGTTGGTACAGTTGCATCTGTCGCTCAGCTTGTCCAACTGAGCGGTGCCCTACTCGCTGGCGGCTACAACTTCCTATCCAAGGTCGCGCGAGCGCCCAGCGAGGCTCGGAGTCTCCTGACGGAAACCGCGGCCGTCAACAGCCTTCTCGCGCAATTACAGCAAATCGCAGATACATCGCCTAAAGCAGCTGCTGACGATGCACTACAGGCTCTTGAACGGGTCGGTGTCTTTGAAGAATGTCGGTCAACGCTCAAGTCGATCGAGCGGGCGCTGGCAAAATGCGAGCAGGTCAATGGTCAAGATGCTAAGAATTTGGGCAGGAAATTGATGTGGCCGTTCAAAGAGAAAGAGACCAAAGACGCCTTGCAGAGACTTCATCACATGCGCGGACTACTTGTGAATGCTATTGAGGCCAACTCTGCGTGAGTATACATGCTCATTAATGGTATCTGGCCTAAACGGTCCACAGATCGGCAATTCGGCGCATCGAAGTAGGGCAAGGCCTCATATCAGACGAGATGAAGAATATGTCTGAGCAGCTCCGTGCGCAGATGAGTCGTGAGGAGACACAGAAGGTAATATCGTGGGTCTGTCCAACGCCGTCCGATGGTGCGCATGCCAGTCTTGCAAGCGCTATGAGTCGCCATATTCCTGGTACCGGAGAATGGCTCTTGCAATCCAAAGAGTTTCAAGATTGGAAAGACTCAGATGATGGCACCATGTGGATCACTGGTCTTCCTGGAGCAGGCAAAACGCTCCTCTGCGCATCTATCATTCGACACATTCAACGGCTTTGTACGGATACCGCCGCAGTCGTATACTTCTTCTGCGATCATCGCGATCGCGCGAAACTGACACACGAGAATTTCGCTTCAAGTGTTGCGAGACAAATGATGGAAGCTTCACCTTTGTGTCTCGAACAAGGCAGATTGCTCTTCAACGAGAAATCTAAGGAAGGCAGTCGCCCTTTCCAAAGCGACGATTACTTTCCACTGATCTGCTCATCTGTGGAACATCTAAAGAATGTTTTTATCATTCTGGACGCGCTCGATGAGTCCACTGAGGGTGATAGCATAGCCCGAAGTCTTGCGAGAATTCACGAATTCCAGAAAAGCGCAGGGTGCCGTATCAGGATTCTTTTGACGAGCCGATTCGATGCTCTTGTTCAAGGACGATATCCCAACCTTGCCACGACACATATCGTTCTTGCAGAGAACATGCGTCCCGACATCCAGTATTACGTTACGGAAGAACTTCAAGCGCGCGTCGCAAAAGGTGTGCTCAAAGTCAAGAACAAAGACATCTTGTCCTCGATGCGACAACAGATCGTCCTCTGTGCGGGCACGTAAGTCTCCTACGTCTTGCGTCGTCTGGTCCTCCACCTAGCTCCACGGCTATTCATCGACCCGTCATAATAGATTACTGATACAATGCAGGATGCTACAGGCATGTCTGAAGATCGACTATATTTGTACGGCGAAGTCAGATAAGGAGATCAAAATCATCTTGCAAAATCTACCGAGTGGGCTCAGACACACGTACGAAGCACTTTTGTGCGACATTGCGACGCGGTACCCAACAAGGATTGAAGAGGTACAAAAGTTGTTCCGGTGCCTTGTTGCTGCTGCGACACCATTGACCGCTCCCGAGCTAGCGGAGATCTTGGCCATGCAACCCGGTGAGCGCGACTTAGACCATGATGCCGTGGTCACAGATCCTTACGACGCTTTGGAACCTATCTCCACACTCATACGGATCGAAAGTTCCGAAGATCAGCGCAGTGTGATAAGACTATGCCATTTTACCCTAGAGCAATATCTTACCTCTACTACTATCCAAGAAAGTCCAGCTAGTCTATTCTATGTGTCTGATAGCGAGGCAGAAGCATGGATGGCCGATGTATGCCTTCAGCACCTCACCATGGATACCTTCAATGCGCCACTAGAGTATGGCCTAGATCTGGATCTTGATCAAGATTATGCATTTCGCACGTACGCTGCACTCAACTGGTTCAATCATGCAAGCGTTTCAGTATGTCGCTTACATCTATATGATCCGTCCCATCCTGCTCTTGGCAGGTTCCTGGACGCCGAGGAGGTACCACCTTGCTACAAGAGATGGCAGAGTCTGATTGCGAAGATCTTGCCCAATGCCGAATTCCTCGACTATTCGCCAACATGTATGTGCATCTGGGCCGAGTTGCACGTTACTGCAAGGGAGCTGTGCCAACGGCTACCAAACATGGACTACCATTTCGAAAATGGCCTCACCTGTCTTACAGTTGCCGCAAAGGAATACGACCAGTATCTGGTCACATATCTGTTAGAGCATGGCGCGAAGGTGGACGAGCCAACTCGCGAATTGGGACAGTTCAAAGCGTTGACTCCATTGCATTTCGCCGCCGAGTGGTGTGCGGAAGGGGTAGTGGATCTTCTACTAAACCATGGTGCTGATCCACACAGACCTTCGGTATCAGGCGCCACCCCGTTCTATCTAGCCTGTCGTGGCGGAGACCTAGACATAGTGAATCGACTCAAAAAGTGCGGATGCGACATCAACGCGCGGACTTGGAGTAATCGGACGCCGATCTTCGAGGCAATCGAGCACGATCACGAAGACGTACTTGATCTCTTATTGGAGTGGCATGTTGATCTGTCGGTCGTCACGTACGGAGGCTGGACAATACTGTCTTTCGCTGAAGCGCTCAAGAGAGAATCTATGCTGGAGAAACTGGAACACGCTGTAGCTGACTCCCGGGTTACCCTCCCTTAAAACCCACTCGAAGACTGTGGGAAAGCCTTTGAAGGGGATTGAGAGGCCAAAGCACGAAGTCATCCTGTAGCATGCTTCAATGCTATATCGATGTAGAACCTATTCGTTCTCTTCGGTGTCTTCACAACGGTCAAGGTCTTATCATGCTGAGTGTCATTGCCTCATTCAAAGAGCGAAATGAACATGTGAGTGGGGACTTACATCGGCGGACGTATCGACCGTTGGGGTGAAGCAAAAGCCTTCGCTGGTGCCACGTACGCTTGCAAGTCCGAACGAACGCGTTCGTCGCACAAACGAAGACGGATGACAGTAAACTGTATCATGTAATCGCTGTCGCGGCGAATCGGTCGACGTAATGTATTTCTCCAGCAGGTACATTGAACGATTCTTGGTTAGACCGTGGCTGGAAGCGTGGCTGAGGTGGCTGTGCTGTGTAGGGGTCCAGTTCGCAACCCATGTCGCTTGCGTGCTCGATGTCCCACCCCTCGGTCATCCCGTGTCCGATCGCACTTGCTCTATTCGCCCACGCCCACTCGATAGCTACCCCTCCAACTCTCCAGACGTGTCCGAACAAAGTGTAACCACGATCAGCCACCGCATTAATCCCGCAATTTCAGCTTCGGTGCATCCACGGTAATACTACAGGAGTTGGTGAGGTCGTTCTCTACTGTAACAGGCCACGTCAAACTCTCTCATCCTTCCTGGACCATTTCTTTGCGGTGGCTTTGCGGTGCCACAATGGAGACTCAGTTACTCACCATGACACTTTTGGTGATGAGCTGCCGCTGAACCAAGGCACATCCGGACTTTGCCGAGATCTAGAGCGGTCCGAATGTACGGCTCAGCTTCACAGGGGTCACAGCGATAGTAATACAGCATAGGCGGGATGAACAACACCAAACCTGCTTTCGGCATTGCGGGGTGATAGAGGGGTACGCTGCCCTCGAGAGGACGCATATAAAGAGGAAGAGGCCTGCCACGATAGTCAGTGTTCAGCAAACAGCAAGTAACTTCTCTACCAAATATTCCAACCCTTCAGAGTCTTTCACTCAAACACATCTCTCTCAACATGTCTTACAACGACAACGACCGCGAGGATCGTACCTCAGGCTACGGTAGCAGCAACCGTGAGGACAACGAGTATGGTTCCAAGTCTTCCGGATATGGAAATGACCAGGACTCGTCCTACGACAACAAGAAATCTAGCTATGGGTCGAATGACAACGATAGTACTTCGTACGGTTCCTCCAACCGTAAGAATGATGACGACGATACCTACGGGTCCGAGAAGAAGACATCAAGCTACGGCTCCTCAGACCGCAACGACGACTCTTATGGGTCTGGCAACAAGTCCTCCGGATACGGCTCCTCGAACCGCAACGGCAACGACGAGGACTCCTATGGTAGCAACAAGCAGTCTAGCTATGGCTCCTCCGACCGTAAGGACAGTGACGACACTTACGGTTCCGAGAACAAATCATCGAGCTATGGCTCATCGAACCGTAACGACAACGATGAAGACTCGTACGGCAGCAACAAGAAGTCCAGCTACGGTTCTTCGGACCGCAACGACAACGACAACAATGATTCCTCGTACGGCAGCAACAAACAGTCCAGCTACGGCTCTTCGGACCGTACCGATGACAACGACTCATATGGTAGCAAGAACCAGTCGAGCTACGGCTCATCGAACCGCAAGGACGATGATGACTCGTACGGCTCGTCCAACCGCAAGACGGACAGCGACAGCTACGGCTCCAGCAATAAGTCCTCCGGTGGCTTTGGAGCTTCTGAAGAGACTTCCTATGGCTCCGGCAACACTTCTTCTGGGTATGGAGGCTCTTCGGGCCGTGACGACAATGACTCGTACGGAAGCTCTGGACGCAAGAACGAAGACAGCTACGGCTCCAACGACCGCGAGAGCTCGGGATATGGTAGCTCAAACAAGAGAAGCGACGACTACTAAAGGTCGGTGTAATACCATGACGGTCGGTAGATTCGGTATGGCCGCTCATAGCTGCAAATCGTCGCTTGGCTCCCGTAGTGCAGTTTTTGCGCCGAGGCTACTATAGTATGTTTGTAGAAGTGCAAACCAATTGTACCCTAACGACTTTGACCGCCAATCGATGAATCGCGTGACGTGACATAACATGCGAGCCCAGACAATGCAGATGTTACTGTAACACTAGCGCGAATCATGACAGGGAAGCTTGCCGCGTGGTGTACGTCACTAGCGGGGCAATCTCATGCTGGGAGGGGCCCAGAGCTATAGCTGCCAGTCTGTCACTTGGAGCCTACGTCCCCTTAAACACACATCTACGCATACACAATTTGTCAACACTCAACCTATTCACTCTTCTACTCACCACACATTGTAAGTTTTTCACTCTCATAGGCATTGATCAGCTGCGAGCTTGGATGCTCGCCTCGGTCTAATGAAGCTTGGCTGCTCCTAAGCATCGGAGCAAGCTTCTGGTGAAGCGTTCTGAACGTTCGTCAGACTGGCAAGCATCGACGCTACGCTTCATACTTACATCGGCACTTACAGCGTAGTGCAGCTTGGCGCATCGATTGCTAACACGTATATAGACTCCCAATCCTACAAAATGTCCTACAACGACGACCGCCGCGAGTACGGCCAGGAGTCTGGCTACGGTGGCCGGGGAGACGACCGCCGCGGAAACGAACAAGGCGGATACGGCGGTGGTGGTGATCGCCGCGAAGAATACGGCCGTCCCCAGGAGGGAGGCTTCGGAGGACCTGCTCTTGGCGACGAAGAGAGGAGGGGTGGAGGTGGAGGTGGCTATGGCTCCTCAGGTGGCTACGGTGGGGGTGGTGAGCGCAGAGAAGAACATGGAAGACCACAGGAAGGCGGCTACGGTGGCCCTGCGCTAGGTGATGACAGACGCGAAGACCACGGTGGACGACGACAAGAGGGTGGAGAGTATGGCAGTGACCGCCCCAGTGGAGGTTACTCGGGTGGCGGAGGATATGGAGACGAAAGGCGCCAGGAGTCACGTCCAAGCGGTGGCTACTCAGGCGGCGGCGACAACTACAATGACCGTCCGTCTGGAGGCAGCAGCTACAACGATCGCCCATCCGGAGGCAGCAATTACAACGACCGCCCATCCGGAGGTGACAGCTACAACGACCGCCCATCAGGTGGCAGCTATGGAGGAGGAAACTCGGGAGGCTACGGCGGATCCGGTCACCATGAAGGCCAACAATCTTCTGGCACATCCTACGGCGGTGGCGGTGGCTACGGCGGCAGCTCAGATGATTTTTCTGGTGCAGCCCAGCACGCATCGAGCGAGTCTGGAAACAGCGGCGACAACGACCTCTTCAGCAATGTCCTTGGCATGCTGTCCGGCAAGAAGGACAAGCTCAAGGATGAGGATGTTGACGAGGACGACGCTGTCAAGCAGCACGAGAAGTTCTACGGTGGCGGTGGCCACGGCGGTAACGAGCAAGCCAGCTCAAACAACGTCGGAGCTGCTGCTGCTATGCAAGCCATGAAGATGTTCAACAACAGCAGCAACGAGGATGCCAAGGGCGGACAGAACAAGTTCATCGGCATGGCCATGGGACAGGCGGCCCAGCTTTTCGACAAGCAACAGAGCGAGGGCAAGACCGTAAGTCACAAGCTCAACATACCTGGTATCGTTACTGACACGCGTAGGACCCGAGTGCTACTAAGCAGGATGCCATTGCGCAGGCTGCACAGATGGCTCTCAAGTTCTACTTGAAGTCGCAGATGGGCGGAGGCAGTGCTGGTAGCGGCGGTAACTCTGGTGGCGGTCTTGGGAGTGTATTAAACATGGCCTCAAAGTTCATGAGCAAGTAGAGCCTGTCTGCACAACAGCCCAAGAGGTCAAGACGGTAACATAAGCCGACGAATTCATCCTGACTTGGCATCACGATGCATCCACCGACCCACAAGAACCTGCTTTATGTAAGTGGAGATATGATGCCGCGCTAACCATCAGTAATTTTCCGTAAAAACCTGGCAAGCGATAAGCGAGGGTGAAAGACTGTGGCGGTGGTGTACGAATCATCCTTCAAGCCCCGCTCGACGCGGCAGCCGCATTTCATTTTGTGGCGCACACGGCACAGTTGTCTGTATCATCAACGCGTGCCGTTAGCACGCCTAACTTCAGCCTGCTGTTTACTGTGCGTCACAACAAAGCCGTCGTCAGCCTGCGAACAGCGTCTGCAACTACCCAGCCGCAGAGCCAGAACCGGTGAATGGGCAGCATAATCATACGTGTAATAGATGGTTTGTAGGCTGCTATACTCTGGGCCCTTAACATGCCGCGGCCCCACACCCTGCAGCTGTCCAGCCAAAAGCTACAAGCTGCATCGAAGAGGATCACGTACCCCATGACCTGCGCCTAAGAGAGACGTATTAGGCCCAATGCGCGTGGCTTGCTCAGCTTATCCGGGCCAAGTGTAAGCAATCGACAGACCGGATTGAGGAGATGAGCTGGGAAGCCAACAGCCGCACCCTGGCCGGGGTACATGACGGCTGGCCGCCTTTTTTGTGCAGGTGCCTTTTGTTCTCAGCCTGATTGTCCTCTTTCTTTGTGCTCTGAATCCTTTACTACTATATCCTGTCGCTGCCTGCTGTCGCTTTCGTCTCGTTCTGCTCCAGTCAGTCGTTAAGTGTGTGCCGTCACGATGCGCGGAGTTCATTCAGTCGTTACTCAGGCTAGCCTTGCGCTGTTGCAGCTCTCGTCTCTACTACTGCCTCTCGTTACCGCGCAGGACTCTGTCAGTTATGACTTCGATAGCTATGGAGCTGAAGACCCAAGCGGCACGCCATACCAAACTTACAGATCCAATGTGGATGTGAAGCCACCGCAGATGCAGATCAATCGCAACGGCACCGCATTGATGAGTGGACATGTCTTTCTGGGAATCAACGGTCTGCCTACGAGTGGGCAGAATTGGCCAGCGATCTTTGGTACGTCGTTCTATTTCCCAGGAAGCTGGTTGAGGGTTGTGACATGAACCCTGCATTGAGTCAGCCCTATCGTATCACGCGACATCCATGTGCTAATCTGTGTAACCAGAGTTCTCGGACGACCGCATGGGCTCGCTTGTGTGGACCGGAAATTACAGCGAACCCTTCGATTTCAAGACGCAAACGTACAAGGGCGAACCTGTACTCACACTCTGGTCGGGCGAGCTACTGAACGGCTACGGACGCGGCTCGTACCATATCCTCAACCAGAGCTACGACGAGATTGCGCACTTCCAAGTTAGCCGGTTCGGAGACGAAATGGGCGATATCCACGAGTTCCTCATCACCGCCGATGACACTGCGATTGTCCTGATCTATCATGGTATTCCATGGGATCTGACAGCGTCTGGGGGTGTTGAGAACGGTTGGCTGTTCGAGAACACGTTCCAGGAAATCAACATCGAGACTGGGGATATTGTCTTTGAGTGGAACGCTAGTACACATGTTGGAATCAACGAGTCGTATAACTCTCTACCATCCGACGTTGGCCAGTCCGAAGAAGCGCCGTGGGATTACTTCCACATCAACTCGGTTGAAAAGGACAAGAACGGCGACTACCTAGTCTCAGCGCGTGTCATGGACTGCATCTACAAGATTTCTGGACAAGATGGAAGCATCATCTGGCGTCTTCAAGGCCGTCAGTCGGACTTTGATGTTGATCCAGCCGTCACCTTCGCGTTCCAGCACGATGCTCGCTGGGTGGACGAAGATCAAACACGCATGACGCTCTTCGACAACGGGCCCACCGAAACAATCGGCTACTCACGAGGCCTTCTGCTCGACGTAAACCAGGACGAGAAGACTGTCAAGCTTATCACCGAGTTCACCAATCTAGGCAAAACCTTTGGTACATTCGAAGGTAGCCTACAGGCCATCGATCCCTCCAACGAAACGACAAACTTCATGCTTGGATTTGGTAGCCAGCCCTACTTCACCGAGCTAGATCACGAAGGCAATGTCTTGCTCGATGTGCAATTCGGCAAGAGCAACGTCGTGAACGCATACCGAGCGTACCGCCAGCAATGGGAGGGTAAGCCATCAACCAAGCCGGATGTGCACTGGGACCAAGACGGCAACACGGCGTTCTTTTCTTGGAACGGCGCCACTGAGGTTGAGAGTTGGGTTGTGTGCACAGCCAATGCTAGCGATTCACGTACCTGGACCAATGTCACTGTGGCAAGGAGAACGGGCTTCGAAACGACGGTTGATCTGCAGGATGTCGATTTGGAAGGCTTTGTACGTGGAAAGGCTGTCAGCGGTGACGGTACCGCGTTGGGCTGGACGATGGCAACTGATGGGAATGAGCTCTTTGATGCGCCGGATGATGTTGAGGAGACTGGGTCTGCGAGGACTCCTACGCCTACTGCTTCTCCTTCGAGCTCAGCATCCAATACGGAAGCTGCCCCTGCGAGCACGTCGAGCGGTGCTGCGGCAAGAGCGACACATGGGGTTATGGAGCAGGTGTACGTTGCTGCTGTAGTGGTTGTTGGTGGGTTGGCGCTTGCATGAGGAAGCAGTTGGAAGAAGGGATGTAGTCATGATGGTATGTTGCTGGAACGTAATATTAATATTTATCATCATCAAGCGTTCGAGGTGTTGAAGTGGAACATGCGGCTTTGAATGAGCTTCCAAGGGTTATGCCCGATCAGCCGAGCGACAAGCCGATACCGTCACTTACGAACCAAGCAAGTGTTACCATGTCTAATAACACGCTCCCACTTTTACAACCTCTGCACAACTTCAGAAGCAACTGATGAGCGACCCTACATCATCTCGCGCGCTATCACCACTTGACCTGCCTTCGGCTGCTCTACACTATCACGCCCATGCTGAGCCCCACCCCGATTCCGAGGATGCAGTGCGCTACGAGCGACAGCGCTTTTCAAAGGAACTAGTTCCCGTACATCACGAAAGGATTGCTGAAGCAAACGAAGCGCATGCGA